ATTTAAAAAATTCAAAATGGCAGCTCCAAAATGACAGACAACTTTTTAAAAAATTCATTGCGTTCGCTTAAAACTTATAACTCGTGGGTTTTTGGTGTCGCTGATTACGAATCCGATTACAAATGCAAGATATGATAATCGAACCAACAAAGGCAAGAAGCAATTATCCAACCAGTAAAAGCGAGATGTGATAATCCAAGCTGTAATGGCCAGATGTGATAATCCAACCATCAAAGGTAAGAAGCAATAATCCAACCAGTAAAGGCGAGATGTGATAATCCAACCAGTAATGGCAGGATGTGATAATCCAACTATCAAAGGTAAGAAGCAATAATTCAACCAGTAAAGGTAAGAAGCTATAATCCAACCAGTAAAGGCAAGAAGCAGTAATCCAACCAACAAAGGCAAGAAGCAATAATCCAACCAGTAAAGGCGAGACGTGATAATCCAACCAGTAAAGGCAAGATCTGATAATCCAACCAACAAAGGTAAGAAGCAATAATCCAACCAGTAAAGGAAAGAAACAATAATCTAACCAACAAAGGTAAGAAGCAATAATCCAACCAGTAAAGGCAAGAAACAATAATCCAACCAACAAACGTAAGAAGCAATAACCCAACCAGTGAAGGCAAGAAGCAATAATCCAACCAGTAAAGGCGAGATGTGATAATCCAACCAGTAATGGCAGGATGTGATAATCCAACCATCAAAGGCAAGAAGCAATAATCCAACCAGTAAAGGTAAGAAAGAATAATCCAACCAGTAAAGGAAAGAAACAATAATCCAACCAACAAAGGTAAGAAGCAATAATCCAACCAGTAAAGGCAAGAAACAATAATCCAACCAACAAAGGTAAGAAGCAATAAACCAACCAGTGAAGGCAAGAAGCAATAATCCAACCAGTAAAGGCGAGCTGTGATAATCCAACCAGTAATGGCAGGATGTGATAATCCAACCATCAAAGGCAAGAAGCAATAATCCAACCAGTAAAGGTAAGAAGGAATAATCCAACCAGTAAAGGAAAGAAACAATAATCCAACCAACAAAGGTAAGAAGCAATAATCCAACCAGTAAAGACAAGAAACAATAATCCAACCAACAAAGGTAAGAAGCAATAATCCAACCAACAAAGGTAAGAAGCAATAATCCAACCAGTAAAAGCGAGATGTGATAATCCAACCAGTAATGGCAGGATGTGATAATCCAACCATCAAAGGCAAGAAGCAATAATCCAACCAGTAAAGGTAAGAAGGAATAATCCAACCAGTAAAGGAAAGAAACAATAATCCAACCAACAAAGGTAAGAAGCAATAATCCAACCAGTAAAGGCAAGAAACAATAATCCAACCAACAAAGGTAAGAAGCAATAAACCAACCAGTGAAGGCAAGAAGCAATAATCCAACCAGTAAAGGCGAGCTGTGATAATCCAACCAGTAATGGCAGGATGTGATAATCTAACCATCAAAGGCAAGAAGCAATAATCCAACCAGTAAAGGCGAGACGTGATAATCCAACCAGTAAAGGCAAGATCTGATAATCCAACCAACAAAGGTAAGAAGCAATAATCCAACCAGTAAAGGTAAGAAGCTATAATCCAACCAGTAAAGGAAAGAAACAATAATCTAACCAACAAAGGTAAGAAGCAATAATCCAACCAGTAAAGGCGAGACGTGATAATCCAACCAGTAAAGGCAAGATCTGATAATCCAACCAACAAAGGTAAGAAGCAATAATCCAACCAGTAAAGGTAAGAAGCTATAATCCAACCAGTAAAGGAAAGAAACAATAATCTAACCAACAAAGGTAAGAAGCAATAATCCAACCAGTAAAGGCAAGAAACAATAATCTAACCAGTAAAGGCAAGAAGCAATAATCCAACCAACAAAGGCAAGAAGCAATAATCCAACCAGTAAAGGCGAGACGTGATAATCCAACCAGTAAAGGCAAGATCTGATAATCCAACCAACAAAAGTAAGAATTATTGCTTCTTACCTTTGATGGTTGGATTATCACATCTTGCCTTTACTGGTTGGATTATTGCTTCTTACCTTTGTTGGTTGGATTACTGCTTCTTGCCTATGATGGTTCGATTATCACATCTTGCCTTTACTGGTTGGATTATTGCTTCTTACCTTTGTTGGTTAGATTAATGTTTCTTGCCTTTGTTGGTTGGATTATTGCTTCTTGCCTTTACTGGTTGGATTATTGCTTCTTACCTTTGTTAATTTGATTATTGTTTCATTCCTTTACTGGTTGGATTATTGCTTCATACCTTTACTGGTTGGATTATTGCTTCTTACCTTTGATGGTTGGATTTTCACATCTTGCCATTACTGTTTGGGTTATCACATCTCGCTTGTACTGGTTGGATAATTGCTTCTTGCCTTTGTTGGTTCGATTGTCATATCTTGCATTTGTTGGTCGCAGTATTAGATCTTGTCTTTATAATAATGGCTTTATTGAATATGTTGGATCTATCATTTTGAATTTTAAACAACTAACATAGGATTCGTAATCAGCGACACCAAAAACCCACGAGTTATAAGTTTTAAGCGAACGCAATGAATTTTTTAAAAAGTTGTCTGTCATTTTGGAGCTGCCATTTTGAATTTTTTAAATCTGACTTCAAATTCGTAATCAGCGACCCCAAAACCCCCGAGTAATGAGTTTCAAGAAAAGTCGAGTGAATTTCAATTTTATTGTCCGCCATATTGGATCCGCCAAATTGAATTTTTAAAAATTGACACCGTTTTCGTAATCACCTACCCTACTAATATCAGATTCGTAATCGGTGACCCCAAAAACCCCCGACTAACGAGTTTTAATCAAATCCGATTAATTTTTGATTTTATAGTCCGCCATATTGGATCCGCCATTTTGAATTTTTTAAATCTGACTTCAGATTCGTAATCAGCGACTTTGAAAACCCCCGAGTAATATGTTTCAAGCAAACCTAGTAAATTCCGTATGAAATACTGCTTTTCATCCCTTAAATTGAAAAAGGGTGTTTTCTACCCTTAAAACTCAAAACGGGCCGATATAAAAAAATACGTGTTTAATATTTTTCTATGTTTTAGAAGTGTGACAAGTTTTATCAAAATCGGTGATTAACAGTTGGGTAGTGTTACTTGTCAGTAGATTTCTGCGCATACCAAGATATCTCCCGAGTCACTCGTGAACGGTATAAAAGTATTCTAACCGGAAGTTTTACCTCCGGTTCATCAAACATGGATCGATACTAAGAGAAGTGTCCTAATGATCCTTCTATGCAAAACTAAATGGAAATTAAATTGGCTGCGGAAAGTTTGATCTCCCTCAAACAATCCTCGACACATACAAACGACTCAGGGTCAAACAGCGCGAAAAGACCATGTCATGAGCGCGATCTCGATACAGATCAATCCTCACAAGACAAAATATTGACACAACATTTGTCTAACCAACAATCCCAAAATACATTAAACTCGAAAAATCAAAACACTAACAATCCTACCTTCAATCTCAGTTACAATGATACAGCGAAAGAAAATTGTACGATTTTCATCCAGCGCGATTCCAAATAAGCTGATTTCCAAAATGATCTCAATCCCATGTCTGTAGGTCGCGTGCTTCATCCATTATACCCCGGTAAAATCGTTGAAATTAATAGAAGTAATCGTGGAAAGGTAAGAATCGTCATTAAAACAGGTAAAGCTCCAAATCAACTGCTTAATGACCCTTTTCTTAGGAACAAAGGTTCTAGTCACATTCCAAGGCACAGATCTTCCTCAAAGGGTTGCTGTCTATAAAACTTCATGTCCGATTTGTCCCTACATCCCAGAGCCCAGAATATTTATGAAATGTCTAAAATTTGGCCTCATTACTAAATTCTGCAATTCTCTAAATTATATATGCTGCAATGGAATTGTTGGGTGTCTCTAAAGATACCCGAAATTCAAAACCTTTGAAAAACAAATTTGACATTCATTTTTTAAGTAAAACCATTTTAAAACCTGGCAAATACTATAATCTCAAAACTTTTAAAAATTTTAATATTGTTAGACACGGCAGAACAGTTAATAAGGTTGGTGGTCTCGCTATTGCCATGCGTAAACATTTAGTTTTTTCCAAAATTCAATCAATCTTTACCCAAGAAGATGAATTCGAGACACTTGCTGTCTCAATTGACTCCTCTATGGGCAAACTATATAGCATCAGTTTATAGAGTTCCCGAAAAAAAACTTCCCCAAACTATTGGAAATTTTTTTAACTCATTTGAAAACTCAGGATTTGGCACAATTTTTATAGGAGGAGATTTAACAATCAACCTAATTTGTCTGCAACGCAGAACTACACACAACAATAATAATAACTCCTCCTCCCCGAAGAAACCTATTGTTACAGCACCTTGGTAGAATGGCAAATGTGACGAGAAAATAAAAATAGAAAAATAGCATTAAAAAATTACAAACAACATTCAAACTATGATAATTTTCTCAAACACAAGACAGAAGCCATAGTTAAACGAAAGCTAAAAGAGGCCAGACGTTAATCTTTTAGTAATTTTTATAATTCTTTAGATACACAACCTCCTGTTACCAAGATTTGGTCTATATAATATATATATATATTATTTACTAATCTTCAATATATAGTATATAATTATAAATATTTATTATATTATTTTAATTAATACCCAGGAAAACCAATTCAATTTGGTTCTTATTTGTTACAAATTAAAGCCTTATTTAATCCAAAGTAGTTGCATTTGTGCAGGTCATAATATATTTTATTACAAATTGTAATTTGTAATTTCATGCAATTACGATAACATAGTAAATTTTTTCAATTAACGAGTTTTTTGAATAAAAAATTATTTATCTACATTGAAATTTAATAATACTCTATAAACGTTGTACATTTATTTTTGCACAGTTTTTTATATTTCTTTTGTTTTTATATATGTAAACTTTTGAGGTTAGAATTATTATATTTTGATAACCATACTTAATATTTTAAGCAATTAGAAAGAAGTCCAGAATCAGAGAATTCTATAAAAACAAACCTTTGAAAAGCTCCACAATTGAATTTAAGATATCCTCTCAAAAACTGATTAAATACTTATAATCAACAAAACGCTCGATGATTGTTTCCAATTCTTGGGCCGAGAAAAAATTGCAGAAATATTTCCCAAAGCGGGGCCTTACTCAAAATTTCTTATGTTATATAATAAATGGATTCAGGATAACGACAAAAATGCACCAACTTCATCAACTGTATGTACATTATTTCATACCCATTTGAATAACATAAAGAGTACCCAATTGCTTGCATATAATTTATAAATTATTTCCACCTTATGTATTAATTGGGTTATTTTTTGTGAAAAAAATGACGATTTTTTTTATTTTGTAAATGATTATGAAAGGTTAACAATGCAATAACGGTAGCAAGAGATATTAAGGGAATATATAAAGTTGGTGTCGATGGGATTTTAGAAGAAGTCAACATCCTTCAGGATACAATCGCTCAAAACGCTGACCCAGAAAATAATAAATCTGTCAAAGAGGTCAATAATATTTTGCAATCAAGAAAACGGTCTGCAGAAGCAACACCAAGTTTTACCGAAAAAAGAATAAAAGTTGCATCAGATTCCATCTATTCTTGTATTATCAAAGAAGTAATAAAATTTTTTATTATCCAGATTTTTTTTACTACTATTTATTAATATTACCTTATATTTTATTATAGGGTCCAATCTATGAATCACTCGTCAATAATTTTAATGGACATATAGCAATTGCGGAGTATGGGCTTAAATGATTTTTAAGCTCAAAATCGCAGCAAATCGTTGCTGAGTGTATTCTCCTTCACGAATTGAAAGGAGATATTTATAAACAGTATGTAGAAGATAATTAGTTTAAAATATAATATTATTTCACATAAAAATAAACCTATTTCTCTCTTATAGAATAAATCGAGAAAGATTTTCAGAGCTTTCAGAAGGAATCGAGTTAATGTTTCCTTGTGAGAAAAGGGTAGTTATATAATAGTTTACGTTGCATGTATTTTGAAAAATCTTAATACCTTTGCTTTAATTTCTGTGTCTAATTTTAGGAAACATACTATATTCCATATTATAAAAACGAATCTGGAAAAAACTTTAGTGCTTCTGTAAAACTTGTAGATTTATTCTACAATATAAGAAAAAGAGCTGTTCGTTCCGGTATAAAAAGTTGTAAAAAAACATTGGTCCTAAAATCTATTGAAAACGATGCTTAGAATGACGATTTTACAACAAATACGGATTTTTTAAATAAAATTAATTCCCTATTACTCACCTGCACACCATGGCAAGATTGTGTTGAAAAATGGAGGGATACTCTTAAGTATCGAATGCACGAAATTCACACAACTGTAACTGCAACTACTACAACGAGAGGAGGCAAAGAAAGAAATGTACCTACTAATAAAGCCTCATTTTATATTGAAAAATATAGAGGATTGAGTGAAGCTTTAGGATACACTTTGGTAAGAAATAAAGTTGACTTGAAGAAAAAATGCTACTTTTTTCCGAAGTTCGTCACACAAAAGTATGTTTTTTTTGTCAATATTGTCTCATTAAAATAATTTTAAAATGCTGTTACAGTTTGAATTGGACTACTCATTACTGTATCCTGGAACTGAAGAGAACTTTTTATTTTTGTGGCCAACTTTTAAAAAGAACGTTCTCTCTGTTTTGCAACGTAGCAAAACTGATTTATTAGAAGCAAACAATAGTGATTTGTAAAATTTTGAAAAATAATTTGCATTAAATACATTGAAAAATTATCTATTATATTATATTTTAATTTCTAGGTGAAATAAGTGATGCACATCTTTTAATGCAATTATCTTCGCTTATAAAACCTAAGTTAATTAATAATGGTGAGAAGAGATGGAAACCTACTAGAGAAGTTATTCAAGAATGGTTTCTGCTCCATGTGACTGTAAGAAGTTTAACTATTCATTCTGTATTAATGTAATTCACATGGTTTTTAAAACTCATATTTTATAATTTTTTAGAGTATTGGTGATGTAAATCTGCCATTAAAAGAGTGAGGGACTGAGCAACAGCCCGACATGAGACAACTCAGCCATTTGCAGTGATTGTAGGAGAAGATTTAGATCATATCACAGTTTCATTGACTTCAGTAGATAATCTTTTATATAGCGTTGATTCTCCTGTAAGAGCGTTTGATGTAACGTTTAAGATTTTTCATGCTGAATATCCCAAACATGCCGAACATCTATGGCTACTTCTACAAATTTGTGTGTACGTTATAAAAACAAAATGGGATAACAGTAAGCACATACATAGTGTAAGTTCTTTGATTAAAGATTTAAAGTGTATTGAATAAACCCTATTGTGATAAAATGCCTAAATTTTTTCAATGTAATGTTGAAACATTCTTCCCATCTATTCAAGACTTATGGATACACTACAAAATAACCCATCTTATGTCTATTACATCTTAAACCACGTTAACAAATTAAAACGCTCACAGACTGAGATTAGTAATTTTATTCAAGGAGAGTTATGGAAAAGGAAACCGTTTATGAAGCTAAATTTTCTTGCACGTGAAGGTATATTAATTAATACTGCATTTGTTATTCAACGCGTGTACTTTCTTCTTGGCTTAATATTGGGAGATAATAAAGGACTAAATGAAGTATTAGGATTTCCTGGTAGCTTTAATGCCAATTATTTTTGTCGCTTTTGTAAAAGACATAAAAGTGATTGTGCGAAAGATGTTTCTAAACAACGTGATTTTTTAAGAAAACCCATAGATTATGAGACAGATATTACCAACGGTTTTGATGTTTCTGGTATTAAAGAAAAATCCATTTGGCTTGATGTAGATCACTTTCATCCTTATGAAAACTTTGCTGCGTGCGCCCTTCATGACTTTGATAAAGGAATGAGCACTTATGGAATGCCTCTTGTGTGCGAATACTTTATTGTAAAAGTAAAAGCTTTCGACTTTGAACTTTTAAATGAAAGATTGTTAGGATTTAATTATCAAATAAATGGATTTTTGAATATACCATGTGTCATAACTGTGGATAATTTAAAAAAAACTCAATTTTCTAATGTCTGGAAGTGAATGCGAACGTTCGTTTTATGTTTTCATTTTCTAGTAGGTGATTATGTTTCTTTGGACAATGATGTTTGGAAATATTACCTCGTGTTGCGTCGATTAGTAGAATTTGTATCCTGTAGAATTTTTCCAAAAAATCGTCTGATACTACTTCAGAACTTGACAAAAAAACATAATTACTAGTGTCAAAAGGTATTTGGTCAACTGAAACCAAAAATGCATACACTAACACATTATAATCTTATTTTAGTTGAATCTGGACCAATACCTTTCCTTAGCATGATAGGTAATGAAGGACAGCACAAAGAAGTCAAGTAAAGTGCATCAGCTACGAAATCGAGAAAAAATGTAACACGAACACTTGCTGTCAAACAGCAACTACAACTTTGTTACCGATTTTTTTCCGAAGAAAGTTTAAAAAACGACCTTCTGTCAGGGCGCAGTCAAATTGTCAATAATGCTATGTTGATAAAAGGCTATCAACAATTTTCTAACACTTTTCCAGACACCTTTAAAAATGACGCGTGTGTTCTTGTAAAATGGGTTACATTTAACGGTATAACGCATCGTAATGAAATGTGCGATAATGGTATTTTGCCATCATTTGGAATTATTAAAAAGATTTTATTTAATTCTAATGCGGATCAAGCATGTTTAATTTGTTTGAAATTATCCAATCTTGGTTTCGATTCAAGCATGGGAGCATATGAAATTGAATATGATATTCAGTGGCAGTGTAATTTAATTAATAAATTACTAAGTCCATTTCCAGCAATAAAAGCAGTATTAAGTAATGGAAAAAAATTTGTCGGACTCCGAAATTTATTATAAATGTATAAAAATAACAAATACACTGAGAAAATTTTAGGGAGACTCCAGGCTTTTTATGGTACCCACCAGAGCTCTCTGTATCAGGACTCGCAGTTCGCCTTAAAAAGTCGAGAATCTACTCTTCAGGAGCTGCTGCAGACTTTTCGGGAGCAGATTCTCGCCTTTCCAAGGCGAACTGTGAGTCCTGAGACAGAGACCTCTAGTTTCGACCATGAAAAGCGTGCAATCTGCCTAAAATTTTCTCAGTGTAGCTTAAATATATTTTTATATACTACATTAAAAATTTAAATTATTAACTTGAAATTATAAAATTATTGTTTAAACATGTTATGAAAGGAATAAACATTTTTAATTTAAATTATATGCAACTCTATTCAGAATCCTTTTCCTTCCTCCCCTAAATTAAAAAAGAGTTTGGTTTGTGCAACCAAACAATTTGGTTCCTGTAACAGTACTCTTTGGTATGCATAACTAACAAGTTCGGTTCCCATAACCAATCACTATGGTTCGCATAACCAAGCAGTTTGGTTTGCGTAACCCAACACTTTGATTTGTCTAACCAAGCAGTTTGGTTTGCGTAACCGAACACTTTTGTTTGAATAACCAAGCAGTTTGGTTTGCGTAAGTAATTACTTTGGTTCGTATAACCAAACAGTTTGGTTTGCATAACCCAACTCGAAGTATACTACGAACCAAACAGTTCGTTTATAGGAACTAAACTTAATCAACCAAATGAGTTTGGTTGCTACAACCCATGAATTCGGTCAGACCATAGTCAACCACCCAGTTTGGCTGGTAGAACCAAAGATTTGTTCAGTACAACCAAACCTTTTTTTGTGAAGACTTAAAAAAATTTTAATTCAATTTTTTATTATCTTAATTAATATTTCTTTTCGTGTACGTGTTCTCCAATGTATAAAATGTAATGGAAGAAAGTGGTAAGTATTTTTATAACACTAAATACGAAATATAAAGAATTTTCCACGTTTCCCCAGATTTTAATTTTTTTAATGTCATCATGTCCCCGAACATATATTTACCGATTTTTCCACTGGGATCATAATTAAATGCTTTTAAACAATACAATTATTTCATATAGGGTAACGGCACCAGTGAAAGAACATTTAAGGAAATGCATACTTTTATCATTTATTATTTTTGAATGCAGTTATTGAAAATTTTTTTACCAATTTTTTTTCGATAGCTAATTAAGTATAGAATGCGAAGGTCATATTTAATTTTCATAAATATAAGATGTTAATTAAAATTTTAATTTATAAGTAAAACATACCTATTTCACCAGTGAAAGAACAAATTGTTTAATGAAAGAATTTTTTGCATCCAGTGAAAGAACAATGTGAAATATATATTTAAAATATATTTAAAAAATATATTAAAACAAAGATAAAGTAATATAATGTTTGTAATATACTAAAATAAAGGTAAATTAATGATAATTATGAATATTTTCTAACTAAGTTTGCAGAATCTTAGTTTTAATTGAAAATGCATTTATAACCTACAATCAATCATCTAGTTGCAATTTATTTTGACAATATTATTGTAACCTAACAGTGTTAACCTATTTGATTTTGTCATTTTTTTGTTTGACTTCAGACTATTCGTTGAAGGTGTTTCTTCATTGGATTGCATTGAAACCAGTGAAAAAAATTTCTGTTCTTTCACTAGTAAATAAAAACAACCCCAATGACGGAATTTGCCTTTTCTTATGGCAAATTAATATTTTATTAGCTTTTAAATGAAAAGAAGTATTTCTAATACACAAGATAAATTTAGTTTAAAGAAGACCGACGATTTAAGGCAGTTTAAATTAGTTAAATGTGAAAAAAGAAATAACATGTCAGAGAAGAGTTCTTATTGTTGAAGATAAATTTGCAACACAACATTAAAAAAAATTTTTTTTATAAAATTTACGTGTTAACTCTCTAGGTATCTTAGATACTAAAGACGTAAATTAAATAAGGAACATAAAAAAATATAATTTATAATACCAAATTGCTTATTACACTAATTAGAATGCAAAACATGAAATTTGTTCTTTCACAGGTGTCAGTTCCTTCACTGGTGCCGTTACCCTATAAACTTAAATTTAAGTAATTATAAAATTTTATAGCCAAAATGTGAATTTTTGATATTTTAACTTTCATTAATTGCTTCATTGCTTCTATGCAATGGTCCCATCTTGCGGAATTAAACGCATTACCTTTCTTTTTCCCCTCTTTGGCTTTCTGTGCCTTATTGCCTACCAGGATTTCCTAAAGCCTCTGCAGAACCATACCCTCTAGAAACTTATCCATCGTATCTAGTAGACATATCGGTCTTTACGATGTGACCTTATCTAGAGGATTATCTCCTTTCCTAAAAAAGACACACTTTTGTATCTTCCAGTCATTGAAGAACTCTCCAGCTTTAAAACACGCATTAAAGACGTTGAGAAAAAGCTCTGGGTAGACAGCGGTCACCTCTTTTAGGATTTTACTGGCAATTCCGTCATTGCCTAGCGCTTTGCCATTTTTCAACGTCTTCGCCACCTTTTTTAGTTTTTCAAGCGTGAAGAGTTCCTCCCTCTGTATTACACAGTGAGTATAGATCCCTAGGGATCGGTTCTACATGGGGTTATAATGCCCTTATGATTTTCTGAATTTAAAACGGATCATCCAGGCCAGGGGTTTTTTGTCTAGCCACCAATTTCTTGGTGACAATCTTAAACGCCAAACCCCATGGGTCATTTTCAGATTCACCGATTAGGTCCTTCCAGCAACGGCGTTGGCTTTTTCGAACTGCTTGCTTGAAGATAAGCTTGGCTTCGTGCCATTTTTCTCGCAGCTTGGAGTCTCCCTTTGAATGGGTATATTTTCTCCTGGCTGCATGGCATTCTCTTCTAAAGCAAGCAAGCTCGTCGTTCTATCAGTACATAGATTTCTTCCTTGCTCTTCTTGTCTGCCGGCGAGGCATGGCCCGGTTGCACGCATCCTCTTGAACGGTATATTTAAGAGAAGCTGGTTTCTTCATCCAGTTGAGATCGTGGAGAAGCCTCGACTCTTCCAGAGATTTCACCAGCTTCTCTCTATTCAGTCTCCTGAGGTTCCAAGAGGGATATTTTCTGCTTTTTTGAAGTTTAACATTCCCTCTCGGATTTTTCTCGAAGACTAGAAACTATGCACCGCTGGTCGCTCATGGTTTCAACGTCAAGCACTCTACATTCCTTTATCCTGTGATCCAGACGAGGAGATGAGATTGTTAGATCCAGGATAGATCCTGATTCCCCCCGCCTAAAGGTGAACTCTCGACCTTTGTTTAACACCACCAGATCATTCGTGGTGACCATGTCGGTAACCAAGGTCCCTCTCCTGTCCAGACGGGTCTCTCCCCATTTCGGAGATTTACTATTGAATTCACCCGCAATGAGGATGTCTCCGTCAAAAATCCTAAGACTCTCTTCAAGAGAGCGGCCCTCAGAGTCGAACTTTGCGATGGGATCGTACGGGGAAAAGTATCAACTGTATACACGTATACTCGCCACTTCAACCCAAACGAAACCGTCGCTAGTCTCCGGGAATTTACCAATGATTTATACAAATGTATACTTCATATATATCAATCGATTCGTCTTGACGTAAGGAATACGATTTTATTATATATATCCTTAAATTTTTCTATTTAAAAATTTTTTCGATTAAAAAAAAATTTTTGGAAAAAAGACGATAAAATTTTTTTTTGGGTATTTTTCAAAATCCTTTGGTCAGATTTGAGATATTAATATGATAAATGAGCCTACCTACAAAAAAGGGATCCACACACACACACATACATACATCCGGACAATTGATCAGGATCTCATATAACATGTTTCTATAAAGAAAAAAATGTTTCCGCCACTTTGAAAAGTTTTATAAACGAAAGGACTACAAAGTTTCTTCCACGAGGAAGCAAAATCAATAAAATATTTTAATAATTATAAAAAACGTACATATTCTTTTTGTCATCGTGTCCTCAAGTTTATTTTAAAGAAGGACATTTTTAAATGTGAGTAACACATAAAAACATTTTTTAGCATATGTATATTGTTTGTGTAAATGTACAATAGAAACGAAATTGAAGTTTTCGAGTAATACAATAACTAAAAATTCGTGTTTATTATTTTTGTCATCGTGACACGTCAGACAGTTTTTTTTAAGTGAAGTCAGTCGTTATTAAAAATAAAAAGAACGTTTTCTCTGTTTTGTATAGTTTTTTTATATGGGAATTATTTAAATATGTGATTACTAGAAAAATTTTTATTGAGCAGAGAAGTGTTCCTCGATCTTGCGTTTTATGATTTATAATATATTTTAGAAGGAAACTCACGAAAAAAATTTTGTTTTTCAATATTTCAAAGATTTTATTTTAATTAAAAAAGTTAGGCTCATATTAACGAATTTTTGATTTTTACCCTTATGTAGTTTTGATTTTTTGGTCAAATTCAAAATTAAACCACAAAATATAATGTGAACAGTGAAGAAAAAATTGCATTCACCTTTTTTTTAAAAATTTACACCTACTTAACATACTTGTAAAAAAAGTAGAAAATCACTTTTTCATTCATTTTTTTCAAGATATATTCATTATGCTCACTGTTTCTAAAAAAATGCGCGTATCGCTTCGGTATTAATAAAAAAACAGTGTACTGTCACCATACAAGTTTGACCATATTCAGATCAGCAATATCTATTTGCTGTCAAAAATCACGTAGGGGTGCCACAGTGTGTTATTTTTTCAATTTCATGTTCAAAACCTAATGTCTCTTGAACAAATTGACCAAATTGAATGAACCTTGGACCAAAATAAAGCTAAATAAATGTAGAATAGAGAAACATTATAGGGAACCCTTGATTTATTTTTGTGAGCTCTTGGGAGTCGAGTGAAGTTACCATTTTTTTAGGAAAAAATGGTAAATTGAAGTATACAAACCGGTATATCATGGTAAAACTTAATAAAAAAACTTTTTTGTAAGCATTTAGGATCACTGAATACAAAACTAAAGTTCAATTTTCAAAATTCAAAATGGCGGACTAAAACAATGCAATTTTGAAACAAAAATTTTTTTGTTCAAACTGTGGTACTTTAACGTTTTCGAGGTCGCTGAATTCAAATATGATAGTAAAATGTGAAAATTCAAAATGGCGAATCCAATATGGCGGACAGAAAAATTTAAAAAGTTCTTAGATTTCAATGAGACTTGGTACTTTAACGTTTTCGAGGTCGCTGAATTCAAATATGATGGTAAAATTTAAAAATTCAAAATAGCAGATCCAATATAGCGGACTGAAAAATTTAAAAAGTGCTTAGATTTTAACGAGACTTGGTACTTTAACATTTTCGAGGTCGCTGAATTCAAATATGATGGTAAAATTTTTTTTGTTTTTTTTTTGTCATCATATTTGAATTAAGCGACCTCGAAAACGTTAAAGTACCAAGTCTTATTGAAATCTAAGCACTTTTTAAATTTTTCTGTGCGCCATATTGGATTCGCCATTTTGAATTTTCACATTTTACCATCATATTTGAATTCAGCGACCTCAAAAACGTTAAAGTACCACAGTTCAAACAAAAAAATTTTTGTTTCAAAATTGCATTGTTCTAGTCCGCCATTTTGAATTTTGAAAAATGAACTTTAGTTTTGTATTCAGTGATCCTAAATGCTTACAAAAAAAGTTGTTTTATTAAGTTTTACCATGATATACCGGTTTGTATACTTCAATTTACCATTTTTTCCTAAAAAATGCTAACTTCACTCTACTCCCAGGAGCACAAAAAAATAAATCAAGGGTTCCCTATAATTTTCCTCTATTCTACATTTATTTAGCTTTATTTTGGTCCAAGGTTCATTCAATTTGTTCAAGAGACATTAGGTTTTGAACATGAAATTGCAAAAATAACACACTGTGAACTGGCACTCTTCCCTTATATTTTTTATTACTGGCAAATTTAAACGATTGCTTTAAACTTAGGCTTTTAAATACGATAAAATTGTAATTACAAAATTATTAAATCAAACTGTAATTTGAACTCAATATTTTAAAGTGTGATCTGTAATACATGTGACATCACGTGTTATCCCGCAACCCTCACGTCACACTTTGTTACATTTTTTTTAGACCACCCCCCCCCCTATTAGAGCGTGACATAATATCTGGATGGCTCCGACGTGACTCCTGTATAATGTTCTAAATAACGCCACTGCGCAAAGTAAATTTTGCTAATACTCCTTCATTTTTTGAATTTTTTCCACAATTGCTAAATATAACGTATTATTAAAATTACTAAAAATAATTTACTTGAATTTTACAAAAAAAACCTCGTTACCAAAATTAATAAGAAAAAAATTTTTTTAAAAAAATTTTACCGCCGTATTGGATCCGCTACATCAGATTCGTAATCAGCGACGTCCGAGAAGTTGGCAACGCCATTTCATTTTTTCAAAAAATCAATTTTTGTGCTTAATGGTGCTAATTTTGTGCTAATTTGTGCTGCAAAAATTTTATTAAAAAAATTAAAAAAACAGTTTTTGGCAAAAAATTTATGATTCACTTTTATTCCAAACAAATCATTTGTCAAGTTATAATGTAACTACAATACAGTGTACCAAAAAAATTAAAAATTTTTTACCATAAAACGGAAAAAATATCAATACTTACAAAAATAAGTTTTACTGCTATATTCTGCAAGACAAGCACAAAAATAATCTCAAAAAACTAAATATGTAGTTAATTCTTCCACAATTGTTTAGAAATATATTTATTCGATTCTTAGAAGAAATATAAAGGAAAAGAAAATAACACTTTTTCCTTTTTTAATATAAAACAGACGACATTTCGGCGATGGTGGCGAACCTGACCACCGAAACGTCGTCTGTTTTATATTAAAAAAGGAAAAAGTGTTATTTTCTTTTCCTTTATATTTCTTCTAAGAATCGAATAAATAATTTTCTAAATCTCAAAAAACATTTTTGAAAAACTGTGTTTAATTAAAAGAAATTCCAATTTTATTACTCAAAACTAACATTTTTAACCCTTCAATAAGCAAATATCAAAAATTTAAAAAAATCAATTTTTGTGCTGTATTCTACAATACTAGCACAAATTTTGAGCTAGTATTGTAGAATACAGCACAAAAATTGTTTTTTAAAAATTTTGATATTTGCCCATTTTAGGGTTAAAAATGTTAATTTTGAGTAATAAAATTACAATTTCTTTTAATTAAACTCAGTTTTTCAAAAATGTTTTTTGAGATTATTTTTGTGCTAGTATTGTAGAATACAGCACAGAAATTGTTTTTGAGAAATTTTGATATTTGCCCTTTTTAGGGTTAAAAATGTTAATTTTGAGTAATAAAATTGCAATTTCTTTTAATTAAACACAGTTTTTCAAAAATGTTTTTTGAGATTATTTTTGTGCTTGTCTTGCAGAATATAGCAGGAAAATTTATTTTCGTAAATATTGATATTTTTTCCGTTTTATGGTTAAAAATTTTTATTTTGAATATTAAATTTTTGTATTTAAAAAAAAATTTTTTTAAATTTTTTTGGTAGATTGTATTGTTGTTACATTATAACTTGACAAATGATTTGTTTGGAATAAAAGTGAATCATAAATTTTTTGCCAAAAACTGTTTTTTTAAATTTTTGACCCCTATTTTTAATTTTTTTAAAAATATTTTTGCAGCACAAATTAGCACAAAATTAGCACAAAAATTGATTTTTTGAAAAAATGAAATGGCGTTGCCAAAAAAAACTTTATGCTAAGTATTTTACTTCTTCAATCGAATTCAATTAGCCAATTTAAGTTTGTTCAACAAGTTTCAAAAAAGTTTTTACTTGTCACAAAACCTCTCGGTACGCAATTCGTTCGAAAGGGGTTTTCGTATCTCAATCCCACACTGAGAGACCTTTTGCACCGTAGCGGACTTTCGACTGGCGGCTGCGGAGCATTCTGTTGGTAAGGTACTAGACTATACGTTTGGGCTGTTGCGGTACATTTTTGGGCGCGTGTCTGCCAAAAAGTTGTTTAGCTACAAACCAAAGGTGGCGTCTCCACAACTTCGGTGAGCTACTCACCAACATTTTGGACAGTCACGCTCCCAAAATTGTACCGCCGCACACCGAAACCATAGTGGCGCTGCTGCCACTTACCTTGTTCCGCTGCAGTCCAAAAGGTCTCTCAGTGTAGTATTGAGCACGCAATTCGGGCCCACCGCTTTTACGTACACCGATACTTCCCTTATACTACTCCGTGATTTGTTTTACCGATACCGTGTAAAAATGGCGTCCATTTTTACCATAGGATACAAAAACACATGAGCCAGCTGTTCATTTGTACCCAAGGGAAAAAATGGACGCCATTTTCAGAAAAAAAAATGTTGCACATCACCCTACATAAAACTTCAAGACCTACCTGACATTTCTTTCGGAATAATCTACGTAGGAACATCTGATAGTTAAATGTGGAAATGTCATTTTTAGTATCGTCCGGTAAACAGCCTTCCAGTAATTTCACAATTAATTCTTGTAGAAGATGATCATCTGTCCCATTATCGGATAATAATGCTTCTTCTAAATCCTAAAACAATTATATTTTTCTATTAATTATTTTTCTCATTATTTAGCAGTGCAAAAAAATAAGCAATGATGTTAAGTTTTTATAAGGTAAATAAAACAGGAAGTCAATGTCTACATTGCAAAATAAGCGGTTTTAGACTTATTGTTAGGAAGTTAGAGTACCTCGATATCAAAGTCCAGAAGATTGAAGGCGTCTCTAAATAAGGAGCAGAAGTGCGCTATACTGGGCACCTCCCACCATGATTGAATGTCTATAAACATAAGCGAACCATTCATGAAAGGTTGCTTTCTAAATGCAAAAGAGATCTCGGAAGGGAAAAATAACACTAACAAGTTAACCTAATCATGTATTAGTAGCAATTTAAATTTTGTAAACCTGACTTCACATTTGCAACAAATGAGATAAATGTCTGTGAAGTTGGTGTAAAAAGTGTTTAAAATAAAGAATTATTTTGATTGTCCCTTTTAATATTCTTAAAGTTTCTGAAAATGATAAAAAAAGTTCTGAAAATTAAGGTCCTTTAAAACATCTTTCATTTTCGGGTATTAAAATAAAAAATTCTCATTTTTATTCCACTAATTTGAAAAGAATTCATTGACCATTCTTAGTTTTACACCATTCTTAGGTAAATTGAAAACTTTTTGCTTCTCTTGATTTATTTTTAAAAAGATAACGCAAGTTCAGAATTTCTTCATCATTGTATATTTCCTAGTTTAAAGTGGATGCAGTGACATTTTTCGCGATATTATTCGATGTTACCTAATAAGGTATTAAATTAATAATGATTGTCACAGTTCCAAATTGCAGTTTTATAGTTTACTTTAAAGTGAAAAAAAATTGGATAAACGGATATTAAAAAACTAACTTCAATCTTACAAAGCTACTTGCATTTCAACCTTGCAATTCGTTTTTGAAAATATATTATTCAAATTGACTAAACTGTGAGGAAATTTTCGATTATGAAAAGAATAAGCGCCTAACGTTTGATGTCTTGTTGTGCATGTTTAACTTCGTGGTGTTCCGACGAAACCGATGTGTAATTCGGGGAATTGTGGCTTGACTTCGGGGGAGGGAGAGATTTGTAGGAAATTATAAAATCGGTGGTTTCCTTGTTCTCTGCCTCATTCGCTCGTCATTATTTTCTATAAAAGAAAATCCCGCGCCATATTTTGATGTCCGACGCCGAAGACTTAAAGGTAGTTTCTTTTTTTTGTAATTATATATATATATATATATTTTTTTTTTTATTGAAGAAAGGGTTGCTTCAATTATATAATTAATGTATTTTGTGGAAGAAAAGAAAATGATTTTTGTTTTTTTCTTTTTTTTGTAAATTTAAAGTGTGGCGTTTAATTAATTATGAATGGGAACGTGAACTCAGAGTTGGCAGAGTGCAAGGGGACAACCTGAAGCCATAAATAAAATAAGGCCGAAATTATCTCATAAAGAGAAATCAGGTATATTTTGGATTAATATGAAATTTGGACGATCTAGGAAAAGCATCCGTCGATCTCTCCATTCCCACTCAGCACCGTATGTCGTCGAGTTCATCGTTGTTTGCTGCGAGGAATGAGTATCATTTTTTTTATATTTACAATTTCATTGACTATAATAATTATATATATATGTGTATTTAATTCTTTTAAATTAATGTATGTAAGTGCGAATGTGTGTTTGACGTGAAGGAGTTTTTATATATGTATATGAGAGATTCTTTTTCAATCGCCCCAGCCCAAAAAGTCAATGTTCTGGGATTGGCTTCATACTTTGGTAAATTGTTGTCCTATATGATAGTAATATATCCCTAAAATATAAACTCATTAAAAAAATATTTGTAGAAAGTACAGGGGGTTGAAGTTTTGACGTTAAGGGTAACATTGTCATTTTCAAATCCGTTTAACTATGACAAAAGTTAATGGATTTTAATTTATCTATAATGAATTTTATTGCATTTTTCACGTACTTTTCAAAAATGTATACGAAATTTAAAAAAAAAATTTTAACCCCTTTTTTTCAAAATCAACCCTTATTTTTCGATTTTCACCCCTTCGGGTATTTTTTTTTTTTTATTTTCATTGGAAAGCTGAGGTTTTTTCCGATGAGCTATGTAAATATGAAAATGGGACAACAATAATTTTGTGAGTAACAGAATATTAAAGTTGGCGGTGCCGATAAGGGGTGTACCTGGAGATCATCTTTGAGGATTTAGATAGGCACCGCCTAATTTAATATTATGTTTCTCACAAAATTATTGTTGTCCCATTTTCATATTTACATAGCTCATGGAAAAAAAACCTCAGCTTTCCAATGAAAATAAAAAAAAAACAAAAAAAAATTCCCGAAGGGGTGAAAATCGAAAAATAAGGGTTGATTTTGAAAAAAAGGGGTTAAAATTTTTTTTTTAATTTCGTATACATTTTTGAAAAGTACGTGAAAAATGCAATAAAATTCATTATAGTTAAACGGATTTGAAAATGACAATGTTACCCTTAACGTCAAAACTTCAACCCCCTCTACTTTCTACAAATATTTTTTTAATGTGTTTATATTTTAGGGATTTATTACTATCATATAGGACAACAATTTACCAAAGTATGAAGCCAATCCCAGAACATTGACTTTTTGGGCTGGGGCGATTGAAAAAGAATCTGTCATATGTACTTGTTTTATATTGTTTCGATCAATGCTTATGATCTAAGTGATGCCTCACACGTAGAATCTTGTCTAATTTTAATAAATATTTATCTTTGATCTGTTCAAACTATATATATATGTATATTTATTTTCTTGATAATTATTTTTCTTGATCGATTCTAATTATTGTCCATATATCTCTAATTTATTATGTCATGTGATTTTTGATTCGTTGTTTTGATTTATTTTCATGGTCCATTTTATTTTTGAATTATATGATTTAACTATTGAATTCTTTTTTTTACAAATTGTATGTTACAAAACATAAAAAGTAGTTCCTACCTCAAAGCCAAACTTTGATAGTACGGAAAAGAAGATCTAACTTAAATATTAAAATAAGTACCAGATTTATTTATTTTTTTAAAGGTAAATTTTTTTATAACTTAATTATCTCGTAAATTTATTTAATAAAGTATTATGAATGTAGAAGAGGTTCTAGACCAATGAGATAATACTTTGATAAGAATGATCTATAAAAAAGGAACAAACCGCAGAATTTACTGTAATTTTGGTTCTTAGTCGATTATTCAACAACTTTGGGATTTTATATTTTTTTGCATTCTGAACAACTTTTTCTTTTGTCAAATTGCTTGACATAAAGCTGGTTTTATGATACTACAATTGAAACATTTAAAAATAAACGCGGTTTCTACAGAAATTTGCGATTTGAACGGTTTAAAAAGCATTAAATATTGAATCATAAATATAAAATTACACTGTTATGCACTAATAGGTGCTTGTAATACTTCCTAAGGTAGTTGGTCACTTTTTCTAAAAAAAAATATTTCCTAATCATTTTTTTCTAAAAAATGCTATTTCTAATGAAATCAGTTTTCTAAAAAAAAATTTTCTAACAAAGTTCAATTGTTGAAATTTTTTTTTAAATTTTTCTAAATATAAAAATTTATTTTTGAAATGTTTCTATTAAAATGTTTAAATGTTTGTATTATAATTGCAGTCACTCTTATTTAAAATTTGTTATTGCCAACATTTCTAAGATAACTTAAAATATCATCTGCAGCATAATCATTATATCGAGACACAATAGTATGAAGTCTTTTGCTCATCTGTTTTTGTTTAGTTGAAACACCTTTTAATCTAAATATTAAATTCTCTTGCTTTTGTAGTTATTACTTTAAAAACTTTTTTATAGGAAACTTGCTGCTTGTTTTCCAATAAGGCATGCACAAACGGTAATGCTATAGTCTTATCTCCCTGATCCATAGATCCTAAAATTGCAAACAGTTGGAAAAATATTATTGGTGCTGATTTAAATGTTCAGTCCACAAACCACGAAATTGATCGAAACAGCAATTTAATGTTCTCTGTAGTTGAAAAACTCAAAATTCTGTTATCGTCCTCACTATTATCATCGTTAAAGGAGTCATACAACAATAAAGCTTCGCCGCCTAATGTTTGTCTAAGAATTTGGTAATATCACGTAATATTCTGAGGATTTGCAGGCAATTTTGCATTTCTTTCAATGTTGAGACAACGAATTTTAAGTTTATAACCAATTACCAAAAAACGATTTATATTTCATTTTAGGATTAACTGCAATATCAATTTCTTTTATAAATTTTAGTATACTTTATTGGAAAAAAAATTTAAGAAATTGAAATTTATTAGCAAAAAACATTTACATCCTAAGTAACTTTTACATTAGATTCACATGCATTCTGTATGCTTCCTTAAATAGATAGACATTCTTTATTGGGCCCTACGGCCTATAACGCAATACAAAATTAAAACACTAAAATATATAAAGTCATGTTAAAATATAATTTTCTTAGAGTTCCAACAAAACTACGTGTAAGTGACCCTACGTTCCCTTAACATACATTCAATCATTTTTACAAATTTTTTAATAATTTCCACACTATCCGTAGATAAAATTTCCCACCAAATTGTGGATGAACATATATTAAAATCAACGTTTTTCAAAGCTGAAGCTCAACTGTCTTGCATGTGCCGAAATTAATTCTAGAGACCCAGAATCCCATAACTCCACTCCAACTCCTTCCAAAAAGTATGATTTCAACTCACAAAACCAATTATTCCCACCAGATGACGGGTCTGTACGCGCCAGTGACATCAGCCTTAGCAAACACTGTGTCGGAAATCTAGATTCTTCCATTACTGCTATCTTTTATATCCAGGACAGTGACCGACTGAACACTTTACATGACAGAGGCAGGACACCCACCTCCAACCGAACAGCGTAGTTAGCCGTACAAGTAGGGAGATGGAGCAGGCTCTTAAAAAAAGCTAACTGAACTCTCTCAATAACACTTCCTCTATCCAAGCCCCAAATCTGAATCACGTAAAAAAGTTTAATACAACTCAGCCTATCGAACAGTCTCGTGTATGTAGACCATGTGTCCGCCTTTAGACCATCTATAATTTTCAATGTAGACCCCGATGCCGCTCTAGCCGAGCTTACAAATTTATTACAAGCTAGTTCGAATGATCCTGAGTTATGAAATATGACCCCCAAGTACATAAATTCATTTACAACTTCTATTTTCTCGTCTCCCACCTTAAATGACTTAAAAT